GGCTCTTGTTGGTTTTAAAGACCTGTTATGCTCTCTGTTTCTATGAGCGCTGCTATATCCAAGAAGACTCTTTGACTTTCCAGGGCCTATCCTTTCAGAGAGTGTTTTTTGAATGGTATCCCCTGGTCTCTCTTGTTGGGACCTTGGTTATTTTATTTTCCTATTCATAGTGATATTTGGGACTCTCCACCTTGTGTACTCTAGCTTGTTTCTTGAGGTAGCCCTTCCCACGTAACTTGAGCTTCAGCCATGCCCTTCTTTAGCATGTGTTGTCCAATTCTGACTTCTAGAAAGATTGGCCAGTCACAGGCGGGACCCGGGGACCCGGAGCACAGTGAAGCGAGGCTTTAAGCAACGTTCTTGTCAGAGCAGGTGTGAACAGGACAGGCACACACCGGGCAGTCCTGATTTAAGGACTCTTACCTGGAGAAAGTCAAAGAAGTTAGGTTGCATTTTCAGTCTTCTGAAATGATGAGATCTGCCAGTCTCACTAGTCTTACTCAGTAACCAGGGCTCAGCCCATTTATGGTATTCCCTTGGTCTGTACGCACCTCTTTTCTCTCATGCCACTGACCCCCTTGCCTGCCTGCAGCCCCGTCTGTCAGTGGTAGGCCCTGTTCCTCTCTGTTCACATTTTAAAAAATTTATTTCTGAGAGAGAGAGAGACAGCGTGAGCGGGGGAGGGGCAGAGAGAGAGGGAGACACAGAATCTGAAGCAGCCTCCAGGCTCTGAGCTGTCAGCACAGAGCCCAGCATGGGGCTCGAACTCACAAACCATGAGATCATGACCAGAGCCGAGGTCGGACGCTTAACCAACTGAGCCACCTAAGTGCCCCTCATTGTTCATATTTTACAGACTACTTACTAGCTAAAGTGTCCTTTTGTAATTCATGAGACAAATTCTAATAGTACTAGGAGTTAAAACTTTCTGTGAATTGACTCTCACTGATGAATATAAGCATATTTCAAAAATAGTGGCAGAGCGCATGGGTGGCTCAGTCGGTTAAGTGTCTGACTTCAGCTCAGGTCACGATCTCAGGTTTGTGGGTTCGAGCCCCGTGTTGGGCTCTGTGCTGACAGCTCAGAGCCTTGAGCCTGCTTCAGATTCTGTGTCTCCCTCTCTCTCTGCTCCTCCCTCACATGCTCTCTCTCTCTCTCTCTCAATCTCTTTCTCTCTCAAACTTAAATAAACATTAAAAAATTAAAAAAAAAATAGTGGCTAAGAGCCTCTCTGGGAACACAGGCCCTACAGCTTCCCAGCTGTGTGAACTTGGACAAGATACTTAATTTGTGTACCTTGATTTCCTTGGCTGCAAAATGCAGATAATGTTGGTTCCCCTCTCGTGTCATTGGGATGAGGATTAAAGGAAATAAAACATGTAAAGCACTTCCTTGAGTACTTCCTTTGTCAAAATATCAACAGTCGTTGATAATAAAAATACTAATGATTTAAGTGGAGCACCTTTCACACTGAAGCATCGGCAGCGTTCTCCTCTTAATCTCAAAATGGTATAATCTTCACATTCTCTAGGAAATATCCCTGTATTGAAATAGAGAATAAGATTATGTTGTTAGTGGGATTAGAAAATTTGAAGTTAATTGGCCACATCGTGTGTGTGTGTGTGTGTGTGTGTGTGTGTGTGTACACACATACAGTCCTGAATTTGGACAAATTGATGACACATACGTGCCATGATAGTATCATACACACACAGTATTTCACTGCCCTAAAATTCGTCTAGGCTCCAAATACTCCTCTCTTCCCACTAACTCCAGGCTACCACTGATCTTTTTACTGTGTCCATAGTTTTGCCTTTCTGGAATGTCCTATAGTTAGAATCATGCAATATGCAGCCTTCTCAGATTGGCATCTTTCAGTGAGTAGTACACACGTAAGTGCTACATCCGTTTTATAGTAGGAAGAGCCTTGCTACATGGACAACACTGCAGGACTCTCACTCTTCCCCGGATAGCTTGGATAGTTGTCCTCACACTTTACTTTGTGACTGGGACTTTTTGATGTTCTTGTAGTGTTCAGCCCTACTTCTGATTGGCTAATTTATTCATCATACGTGTTAATATATTCAGTCTAGTTACAGTCATGTTGGGGAGGCCTCAGAGCCAGTCTAATAGGTAGTTTTGCATATCTTTGCTTTGATGCATTGTAAATTGATCAGATAGTTTTTACTCATACATGGAATTTATTGTTTCTCACAAGTTCCAGCTAGATCTCCTGCTACACAGCCCATGAGTGGATAATGGATTTTATTATTCCTACTTAGTAGATGAAGAAAGTGAAGATTGGGAGCGGCTGAGACTTGACCTAGCATCACATATGCTGTGTCTAAGCTTCCTCATCTATAAGTTGCATTTTAATTCCGTAACTTTTTATTAGGGTAACATGTATATATAAAACATAAAACTTAGCATTTCATCCACTTTAGGTGTACAGTTCAGTGGCATTAGGAACACACACAGAGTTGTGTAATCATCACTACCATCTGTTTATTACCCCAAGCAGAGACTGTGACCATTAAATAATAACTTCCCATTTCCCTTCACCCCCACCCCCACCCCCTGGCCCTTGCCAACTTGTACTCTGCTTGCTGTTCTGTAAATTTGCCTACTGTAGATTTTTCATTTCAGTGGAATTCTACAATTTTTCCTTTTGTGTCTGGCTTGTTTCACTTAGTATAAGTTTTGAAGGTTCAAAACATTGTGGCGTGTATCAGAACTTCATTTCTTTTTTATGGCTGAATAATATTCCACTGTATGTATATCACACATTTTGTTTATCCATTCATCTGTTGAAGGACACTTGGATTGTTTTTACCTTTTGCCTCTTGTGAATAATGCTGAGTGAACATTGGGATACAAGTATCTTTTTGTGTCCTCACTTTCAGTTCTTAGGGTTATATACCTAGGAGTGGAATTGCTTGGTCATATGCTAAATTCTGTGTTTGGTGTTTGGGGAACTGCCCAAACTCTGTCACTTAAATATAAATTTAACGAGACATTTTTACTATCATAAAGTATGGAACTACAGTTACATTTGGAAGTATGTTAAATCTGGTAATCACTTGGTTCAACTCCCTTGTTTTATAAGAAAGGAAAGCAAAGTCCAGACACATTTTGATCTGAGGTGATTTGCAAAGGCGATTTATAATTAATTTATTTATTAAAAATTTTTTAGTGTCTATTTATTTTTGAGAGAGACAGAGTACAAGTGAGGGAGGGGCAGAGAGAGAGAGGGAGGTACAGAATCCGAAGCAGGCTCCAGGCTCTGAGTCGTCAGCACAGAGCCCAACGCAGGGCTTGAACCCACAAACCATGAGATCATGACCTGGGTCAAAGTTCAGATGCTCAAATGACTGAGCCACCCAAGTGCCCCTTTTATTTATTTATTTTAAAGTTTATTTATTTTGAGAGAGAGAATGAGTGGAGGAGGCGCAGAGAGAGAATCCCAATTAGCCTCCACACTGTTAGCGCAGAGCGTGACATGGGGCTCGAACTCATGAACCATGAGATCATGACTTGAGCCAAAGTCGGACAGATACTTAACCAACTGAGCCACCTAGGTGCCCCTATAATTCTTTATAATCATTTCATGTGCTTCTTTGTTATCCATCCATGATAAGGAATTACTAGAAAAAGGCACTCCAAGTAAGAGTAAGTTTAAATTAATACAGTGTTACAAAATGGAATTTACTTGATTGGGATAATCTTTATCTAAATTGTGTACTTTGTTTTTATTCAATAGACCTCAAACTCAATATTTACCAGCTATGTGACTTTGGGTTCTATGCCACAAAAATATTTTATGTGGAGCTGCTGTTTACAAGGGGCTTTTGGGTTGCTTTAAACACTAATAATGTGAATCAGCTAAATGACTAACTTGTGGAAAGTAAAACTCACTGGCTGGGCTCTCAGAGTTATAGAGATTGTCATTGCTCTGGAGAAAGGTAGAATCAGATCAGCGGCAGCCCTGTGTCTTAGTTATTCATGTTTCCATTAGTTTTGCCCAGTGTTTATTGCCTACCAAGTTCTCAGTTTTTAGTTTGACATCCCGTGTTTTAATTGTCCTCTGCTTTCTGTTACATATATGATTAGCTTGCCTTTTATAGCTTTGTTTGCATCTGAGTGTTTGTGGGGAAAAAAAATATTTTGAATAGGAAGAAGCCTAACTCATCACTGTTTACATAAAGTGGAGAAACGGCATTTGGCATGAAGTGGTTATTCGATGAATCCACTTTCCTTCCATCTGTGACTTTCCGTTGGCCACTACTGTGTTTGTGGCTTTCCCTTTTTGTGTCAGTCTTCCAATATTAACAAAGAAAAGAGAATACTAAGTTTGGCATGTGTTAGTGATCACTGTTGTACTTTCTACTGGTTCTCAAAGCATATGCCTGATGATTAATGCTAGAATTTTGCTGGTCACTCAAGTCTGCTTGGTCAGAGTCTACTTTTCAGAATTTTTTTTTTTTTTTAATTGGGTTAAGATTTTTCCATCTCTAGTCCTTACACACACTTCCTATTTTTTGTGACCTGTTTTTGCTTATTGTAATTCCATGTTGCTTCAAGTCCTTCGTAGGTTGATGTGTCTGTTCGTGGCTATTTGTATTTTCAGAGTGGCTGGAAACTCTTAGAGACGGTGTTGGTGGCTCACTGTTCTCTGTCGGAAAAAGTAAAATAGGAATTTATTTTCCTGTTACCTGTTAATCCTACTGCATTCACTCATGTATTCACTCTCTACGTATCTGTGGACTCAGAATCTGTTGTAGGCCAGGGTCAGTTCCTGATGCTGCTGTGAGCTGCAGCCCCATTTTTCTCCGAAGCCCGTCTGTTCTCAGCATTTTTCACAAGCCTCCTTTCGTTGTGAGTCTCAACATTGAAGATGTGACTCTTTGTGTTTCATCTCGCTCTTTTATTTGTCCGCGGTGAAATGCTCTCAGCTCCTCCTTTATATTTAATCATTTAAGGTTTTATTACACCAGGGCTCTGTGTGTAGTTATTTGGTGTCTGTTAGTGTCTTTTTAAAATTAATTTTTAATGTTTGTTTATTTTTGAGAGACAGCAAGCATGAATGGGGGAGGGGCAGAGAGAGGGAAGCACAGAATCTGAAGCAGCCTCCAGGCTTTGAGCTGTCAGACAGAGCCTAATGCGGGGCTCAAACTCCCAAACTGTGAGATCAATACCTGAGCCAAAGTCAGACGCCCAAGGACTGGGCCACCCAGGCACCCCGGTGTTTGTTTGTTTTGTTTTTTTAGGGCTATATGACACTTCCATGACCTTACTGTTAGTTCAGTTTTATTTTTCAACGGCTCCCATCTCTTACTAGTCATCTTCCTTTCATATTTTCTGATCCTAAGCCCATTCTTCTCATGCACGTGCACGCGCGCACACGCCAGTTCTCCCTCTGAGCCTGCTCTTCTTGTGCTTTGTGGTAAGTGTATGACTAAGTCTAGGGTTTCCTTACAAAGCTACTCTGTGCTTCCAGAGGCTAGCACTTTCTCCTCAGCATTCTGCCTCCTCTCCTTTACCGGCAGCTCTTTCTCGTGGGTCAGTTCTAGGTCTAAAACAGCGCCCTGTCGGCAGCTCAGCTTTCCTCTGAAAAACTAAAGTATCCACAAGAAAAGACATTGATCAGCAGGCAGGGTGTATTTCTACAGGGGCCACGAATGACAGGCACAGTGTGAAGTCCTGCGTCTCCCTGCGTGCACGACCATCCTCACCTTAACAGCTCGGGCTGTTACAGAGAATGTGTCAGTATTGTGTGTCTGTCACCAATGTGCACTTGGTAAATTATTACTGTCATTATCGTTGTTGTGGTTCTTGTTATTTATCACTGCCATCACCCCGTCTTACTTTTGTCCCAGTTTTCTAAACCATCTTCTAGATGGTTTAGAAAAGAAAGCATCTTCTAGAATCCAGATCATACCTTGGACTGAGGGTAAAGCACAAGAATACCACTTTTGTCCTCTTTTCGTCTTAATCCGTATCTTTTTCAGCATGTTTCCATCCACATTGTCCTAGATGCTAAAGCATTGTTGTACGGTGTGCTCTTCCTCGAAGCATGAACCTGTCTTCTCCAAGATCCCTCCAACGAGATCATGACTTGCTGACCGCATTCAAAGTGGCCGCTCTAAAGAGAAAACGTTCCCATGCTGATAGTGGAAATGGAAATCTACTTCACATGATTATGTGTTTACTGGAGAATGGTATTCTAGGAGGAAAAAAGGCCAGATCCCATCGCATACTCACAAACTATGGGTTATGCACACTCCTAGATTATTTGGGTCCTAATATGACAGTGTTAGACTGGATAACCTCAGAAGTTCTTTCCAGGTCTGAAATTGTGTTGCTTCTCCTCAGCAATCTTGACAGAGGGCTGCTGAAGGCCACGTCTATTTGAGTTTATTTACTATGGCAGATGTTAATTCTGATCAGTTTAGTTTAATTGCATTTTAACTATCTACAGAAGATCTTTGTTCTTTGGATATCAGAAAGCAAATTAACTTTGGCATAATTAAAAATGTGGAGGGTCATAAATGTTAAACTAGTTTGATTTATTTCAGCTGATAAATTAGCTCAGCTATATGGTGTTTCCCACAGTAATGTGAAATCATGGGAGATATTTTTCTGGCACAGTTTCACACTGACAGAGAATGAGAGAAACCCCACTCATGTTAGCTAAGAGAGCTTGCAATAGAATAAAGGCCAAGCTCTACATATGTAATGCTGATAGTTTCCAGTTGGGAAACCTGGGATCTTGAGATCAGGTTTCGAAAACTGAAAACAATCGCTGGGGTCAGACATGCTCCTTAGGGCTCATGGCAGTTTTTTTTTCTTCAAATGTTTCTATTTCTCAATAATTGTCAGAATACAGAAGTAGAAATAGCTTTACAGAGCATTTCCTGCCTTGCATAATTTCTATGAACAAGCAATCTTAAGACCAAACAGTCATGAAACTTTCCTTCAGCAATCTGTTTTAATTTTCGTAAGTAAATCCTGGCTCAAGTTTGTAAATTTGTCTGTCTCTGATGTAAGTATGTTATGTTTAATCACTGCTAAATCATGTCCATAGTAAAGTGTTGGAAGCATCCCTCGCCATGATTTACACAGGCCCCTGGGCTCTCTTTTTCTAGATTCCTGAACTTCCTCCCATCTCAGGGCTACACGAAGCTTTCATCACTGCCGATGCACACAAAATTAGCTGAATATGCATTGGTGCATTTTCCTCCAACTTTGGAATGACAGTTTGAATGGGGAAGAAACTAAATCTTGAACTTTTTGGACAAGTGTACATTTTCTTCATCTCCACGATCACAGTGTTTCCTAGGCCAAGAGCCAAGAGTTCTTGAATTCACACTAATAGTAATCAAATGTGTTTTTTAAAATTTTGCATTAACCCTGCACAGCTCCCCTCCCTTCAAGCTCCTCTCAGCTCAATGGGGTGGAGTCAGGCGTGAGGGGGCGAAGCTCTGGTTCATGGACATGACTTGGCTTTCACCTGGGGTCTATCAGTTGGTTCCTCTTTGGTGTGGGTTTAGGACTGCTAATATCTTATGCCTTTAGTGTTTTTTCCCTTAGGAAAAAACTATTTGTGGTCCACTCTGTTACCTGATGGATAGAAAGCAAAATTGTGCTATTAATAACATATTGAAATTCTAATAATTTTTTTAAGTGTTTATTTCTAGAGAGAGAGTGTGTACATGCACACATGTGAGCAGGGAAGGGGCAGAGAGAGAGGGAAAGAGAATCTCAAGCAGGCTCTGCACTGACAGTGCAGAGCCCAATGTGGGGCTCAATCCCACAGACTGTGAGATCATGACCTGAGCTGAAATCAAGAGTTGGACACTTAACCACCTCAGCCACTCAGGTGCCCCTGAAATTCTAATTCTTAAAAAATAAAAATGCATCTTTTAGCCTCTGTAGCTATTTACTTGTAGCTGGTCTTCTAGGAGCTGGGCGGAAGTGCAGTCTGAAGGGGAGGCGCTGTGCTCAGATACCTCTTCAGTGTCCTCTGGCCACACTTGCATATGTGGATCCCTGTTCTGCTGTGGGTTGCTCTTCTCCCTGAGAGTGGATAAGAATCTCTCCTTGTGCAAGAATCTCTCTGAGCAGTTACTTCTATTCTCTGGAAATACCTGAATGTAGGGCTGAGTAATACAGAACCTTGCTGTGTATACTGTCATTATCCTTCACTACCACGTGGAATTGATCTACAGATACCATTTCTTACACTTCTGTTATGTTCTTCATTCATTTATTCAACAAATACTGAGGTTCAGGAAGCTTTCTAGATCAGCGGTTGTCAGCTTGGGATGACTATATCCAACTGCATCCTTACTAGGAAATCCTGACAGTTTCACCTTCAAAATATGCTCCAAATTATCAGTACTTCCACTTCCAACGTATAATCCAGCATGTCATCTTGGATTAGATCACTACACTCTGTTGTCAGTCTGTGCCACCACCAGCTCCTCTCCCTACAGTAGCCAGCAGAATCTAAGAATGGCATTCATATCATGGCTCTCCCCTAATCACCTAATCACAGTGGCGCTCCCCGCTCTTCTTCCGCACTGCCTGCGAGGGTGGTGGCCGTCCCCTATTCGGCAGCATAGCAGCCCTGAGACCTCTGGTAAAGCGCAAGATTGTGACAAAGAGGACCGAGAAGTTCATCCAGCCTGAGTCAGACCAATACATCAAAATCCAGCACAACTGGTGGAAACCCAGAGGCATTGACTACATGGTACACAGAAGATTCAAGGGCCAAATTTTGATGCCCAGCATTGATTATGGGAACAGCAAGAAAACAAAGCACATGCTGCCCAGTGGCTTCCAGAAGCTCCTGGTCCACAATGTCACGGAGCCTGAAGAGCTGTTGGTGGACCCCAAATCTTACCATGCAGAGATTGCTTACATTGTCTCCTTCCAGAACCGCAGAGCCATTGTGCAAAGTGCAGCCCAGCTGGCCATCAGAGTCAACAATCCCAATGCCAAGCTACACAGTGGTGAAAATGAATAGACAGCTATGTGCACGTCATATTTGTATTATACTACAGGGGGGGAAAAAGCCCTTCTCAGCATCCTTAGGCCTTATCGTCATCATCTGTAATCAGGTCCTTGATGACTGTGCCCACATTATGTCCTGTGACGCTCCCCTCTGATCACTTAGCTCCTTGTAAAATTGCCCTGCCTTATTGCATGTGTAAATCTCTTCTTCTGCATAATTTGGATATAAACTGGAAATATTTCAAATCAAAACCATGTGTAGATTGGCTGCTTATTTATGGTTCTAACTTATTGACTTCAAGGTGGTTTTTTTGTTGTTGTTTTTGTTTTTTTTTTAATGTATGCAATACCTTTATGAAAAATATTTAAAGCTTCATTCAAAATATTAAAGAAAACTAAATGGAAAAGAAGAAATTAAATAAGAATACTATGTAAACTTCATGTGACTATCTCAACAGGTACATAAAACCATTTCTTAAATTCAACAATCTGCACATGATAATACCAAAGAAAACAGAAATAATTAAACATTTCTTAAACTTGATAACAAAAATGAATTAACGAATTAGACTTCAAGGTGTTTTTAAAAGACATGCAGCTATAAATAACTCTCAAAAGTGGAAGTAATGTTTGCTCAGTGTCATCTGGTTCTCACAGATGTAACAATCCCAGAGGCTTATCTCTAGCAATTCTAACCAAATTAATAGTTACCCAGTTGAGAGAGCAGAAAGTGTGCATTTGAGCTGAGAGGTCTCTGTCATAAGACAAAAATGAAGAAGGCAGAGGAAAAAAAAATCATTTAGGTATTTGTGATATATTCAGGCCCAGAGGTATCAAAATACCTTTTCTTCTCATTCAAAAATCTCCTTTGTGAATTTCTACAGAAGGCTTATGTGTGCGGTTTGACTGCACGTGATAAATCTAGTCCTTTCTCCATCTCCAGAATGAGAATCTGAGTCACTGCTCCTCTGAATGTTAACTACTTGTTAACTTATTCAGCTCCTTTTGTTAACACAGAAATATAAAGCTGAGGGGACTGTCAGATTTGGATAGATTTGTCTTTTTGCCCCAGAATAGTTATTTACTCTGCTCTTAATGCTTTATCAAGAAGACAAAGGCGTAACTTTTTTGGCAAGTGTCTTTTACATAATAACCAGAACAGTATATGTTTTTATTATTATTATTATTATTATTTGAGAGAGAGAGAGAGTGAGTATGTCAGGGGGGGTGGAGGTAGAGAGAGAGAGAGAGAGAATCCCAGCCACACTCCACGCTCAGTGCAGGGCCTGATACAGGGCTCAATCCCAGGACCCGGGATCATTATCTGAGCCAAAATCAAAAGACACTCAACCAACTGAGCCACCCAGGCGCCCCGCCAGAACAATATTTAAAAGCTGTGGGACAAGCTCAAGTACTTGTATAAAAAATATCTGTGCCCCAAAGCAAATGTTACATAAACACATGGTACTGTATTGCTACTGTGGGTGTCTCCTGTATTGATGGATTTTTCTCCAGCCTTTAATCATGTCAGATTCTACCTAGCAACGCTTTCCTTCTATTTAAATTCTTTAAAAGAATAGCTGGGGGCTCTGTTTGAGAGAAGTAATCGGTTTAAATTAGTAGGTATCTGTTCTATGTTTTTTCCGCATGACCCTTTGTATTTGAAAAGGAAAAAATTTCCATCTGCTGGGTGGTCAGGAATGTACTGACTGCATCCCATGTGACTGGCATGGGGGTTTGCTTAGAAGTATGGTGGGGAGATTCAGAAATATGTGCTTGCTCTACATACACACACTTGCTGTGGTGCTGAGCGAAAGCAACAGCCTGTCCTCCAGGAGAGCCCTCACTGGAGTCGATGATCCCAGACAGAGGTACAAGAAGCAATTAAATAAATAAATTAAATAAACTAGAATATATAGCCAAATAGCAAACACTCTTTATTGTTTTTAATGTTTATTAAAAAATAATAGGGGAAGAGAGACAAAGCACAAGTGGGGGAGGGGCAAAGAGAGACACACACAGAATCCAAAGCAGGCTCCAGGCTCTGAGCTGTCAGCACGGAGCCCGATGCGGGGCTCGAACCCACAGACCGTGAGATCATGACCTGAGCCAAAGTCAGATGCTTAACCGACTGAGCCACCCAGGCGCCCCAGCAAACACTCTTTAGAAGATGTGTGCCCATGGGAGATGCTTCAGATGGAAGTTCCGACCTGTATGCAGGGTGTTCAGGAGGGAGGAGAGGCTGGTCGGCAGATATGGCTGTAAGCACTGTCGCTGTTGTTTCCATTTCTCTTCTCGTGCTGAGTTTCCCACTTGGCCCTGGGTGCCTCACGCTTGACTATGCTGAAGGTGGGTCTACACCTTTATGTTTTTACTCTGAGTTTGGACAATGTTCAGGGATGTGTTGGCAAAAAGATTTTTTGGGGGGTAGGGTGGGCACAGGCTCTGATTTATAGCATTTGCCACTTTCTGTGGTGCAGATGCTTTCACTGGGGCTGATTTCTCAAGTGGCCGCTTCATGTGATGTCACTGAAGGCAGGGATGGGACGAGCTGGAGTGGGTTGTAAGTGGGCAAGATCCCACTTCAGGAGGTGACTACCAGTGTCCCAGCTGAGTGTTTCCTTGAGTACAGAATCTTTACTCCAGTATCTGGAAGGAGACTCTTCTTTCCCTTCTATGCCTTCCTACCTCTGGCTGCCTACAGAGTTGCTGTTATAGGGACTGTTTTCTTGTTTTCATCTCTGCCTATGTGGTGCTTTAGCTCTTTCTAACTTAATTTCTGTGTTTTATCTCGGCGTATACCATCTGCCTTGTACTGTGATCAGGAGGGACCAGTTTTACCTCCTGACTGGAGAGCTCATTAAAAGGGGAAACTTCATTGTGGATACTTGGATAAGAAAAGCATAACATATTTCTGTATTAAAAAAACCTTTCTGTATATCAGACATTCCTTACCTCCACCCCTAAGAGTTGCTCACATTTATTTGTTAATAATTTCATTTATGTTACCTTCTGAGGTGCAATGTCAGTTATCACATTGCTTGTGTTTTTTTACATTTTCTTAATTTGAACATCTCTGGTTATTTTCACACTGAGTTTTCTGAGAAGCAAACCTCTGTTTTCTTTTTTTTTTTTTTTAATGTTTATTTCTTTATTTTGACACAGAGAGAGAGATAGAAAGTGAGCAGGGCAGAGGGAGAGGCAGAGAAAGAATCCCAAGCAGGCTCCACACTGTCAGTGCAGAGCCTGATGTGGGGCTCAAACTCACAAATTGTGAAATCATGACCTGAGCCAAGATCAAGAGTGAGACGTTCAACTGACTGAACCACCCAGGTGCCTGGCAAACCTGTATTTTCATCTCTTTGAGAACCCACAGTCCCTAAAAGGTACCTGAAATTGATAAGTTGTTGAATGACCAATGAGTAATAGACATATCCCTAATTTTCAGACTTATCATCACAAGACATGAAGCCAAAAGAAGTTTGAAATCATTCAAGTTAAAATGAGACTGAGACTTAGTCATGGCAAGGGTTGTATAAATAAGTCAAACATGGGAGAAATCTGTGGGAGAAATGGTCTTAGACACCATTCATAGATGGGACCAAAGAAAGCAGTTTTGATGCCAGAGGAGAAGGAAGGTTTGGGGAAGAAAATAGGCCAGTGCTTTATGGACGAGCAAGTTATAAGAGAATCAGATACAAGATGGATTAAGAAACATTTGCTGGATATGAGTAGGAGAGGGCAATTATAACCTTTAGAAAGCAGTTTATTAATGAGTTGGGAATAAAAACTTTATTTTAGAGACTGAAGGAGGTTAGGAGGGGATAGGAATGAGAATCAGTGAATGTGCATCACTCATCCAAGGACTGAGATGAGCTAAGAAGTGAAATGGATGTTAGGTACAGGGAGACATTACGTAGGGTTCCAGAAAGGGTAACTATTATTCATTTTGAAGTTAGAAAATTTTTTCATTGTCACTCTTATAAGCGACACTTCATAAAGGAGGTTTAATTTTGAAAGTGTGTATTTAAAGTTCCATGTTTTGCTAAGTTGATGTCTTTCTAAGTGTAGAGGCCCATTATTGAGGTAGGTGGAGATCTAGGGTCTAACATAGATCATAAGATACTTTCAACACCAGGACTGGTATTGGATGATTTTAGTGTACTGTGTCCATCTGCTGATGAGAGTACTAGAAGAGAATGGAAAATAGATCTCTTGCAAGGCAATTCAAGATGGTATTAGTAGTGTACATACTGTAAGTCAGTTTGCAGAGGAGTATATCTAACTTTTGGAAAAACCAAGAATGAGTGCTTTAAATCAATAGGTAGTATATCAGGTAGTATCACAATACTGATTCAGGTATTTTACAGCAAGTAAATAAAAAAAGTTGCCCTTCACCCTCCTACACTGTTGGTGGGAATGTAAACTGGTACAGCCCCTCTGGAAAACAGTGTGGAGGTTCCTCAGGAAACTAACAATAGAACTCCCTTATGACCCAGCAATAGCACTGCTAGGAATTTACCCAAGGGATACAGAA